TCTCTCTCTCTCTCTCTCTCTCTCTCTCTCTCTCTCTCTCTCTCTCTCTCTCTCTCTCTCCTTCTCTCTCTCTCTCTCTCTCTCTCTCTCTCTCTTCTCTCTCGCTCTCTCTCTCTCTCTCTCTCTCTCTCTCTCTCTCTCTCTCCTCTCTCTCTTCCTTCTCTCCCTCCCTCCTTCCTTCCCTAACTCCCTCTCTCTCATAGCCTCTATTTCCCTGACCCTTTCGTGGCGATGCATGACGGAGGCGTAGTCGTAAGGGACGCCGTAGTTGTCGCCAGAGTTGAGAGGGAATTTCCTGCCGGCGACCGATGAGACGCTCACGAAGGCGTCGCGGTCGGAGCGCTCGTCCTCAGGCCACAATCCGAGGGCGTAGCCGAGCACGTGTAGCAGGGAGCCCTCCTGGAAGCGAGAGTGACAGAAATAGTGAGGCGTGTGCACGTATGAGTGTGTTTTTTGTGGGAGTGCACGTACCCTACCGACGCAACCATGACCGAAAGAGCACGGTTCCGCTTGTGTCCTCTCTGAAAAATGAAACCTTGCGTGTTTATTTCTGACGAGTGGGGCCGCTGGTACGATGCGTCCTCCCTCTCTCGTTCAGCATTAGATTCAAGTCCCTCTAAATGTGTCATACACAGACCAACCACCTTCCCCTAACTCACGTGTCTCTCGCAGTCTTCTGAGACGTGGAGGTCCTGCCCCGAGGAGGACGCCACTCCCACGAAGGACTCGCAGCGGCTCTCGTGCCTCCGGAGCCGCAGGTGAGGGCCGTCGTAGCTCGAGCTGACTTCCTTGAAGGTGACGCAGGTGCTCTCGCTCCAGCGGCGGGCGGCGTGTCGCACGGCCTGGCGGTCCACGTGGTCTGGAGGGGCAGGAAGAGGATCAAATGACGGAGAATCAAGCGAAATGTTCCGTCCGCAATAACAAAATCCCAATATTTGATAAGGAAAGATCTGTTCCCGAGGTCAATTCTGACAAGAGTCAAGCCTGACCATCGACGAAGGCAAAGCGGACGCAGGGGGCGCCGTCGTCGGCTGGCCAGAGCAGAGTGTGCTCGGAGGGCGCTTTCCTCGCGAGTAGCGCCGCTTCCTGCGCCTCCGTCAGCAGGAAGTTCAGCTCACTCTTGTAGGGGGTTAAGGGGTACTCCTGCCGAGAAAAGATTAAGATGTTTCTTGCTTACTATTCAAACAAACACACACACATATATATATGTGTACATGCATACATACATATATATGTATATATACATGCGTGTGGGAATAGATACATTTATATATATATATATATATATATATATATATATATATATATATATATATATATATATATATATATATAAAGATGAAAATATCGACCAAGAAAGCGCATGTGCCAATTGATCAGAGAACATGCCCTCGCGGAGACAAAGTGCGCGTCGCCCACCCGGCTCCCGTTCTGCGCCGCCTCTCGCCCGAGCGAAAGCCTCCCCCGTGGTCCTGAGGCGACGACGTGGGGCTCGCGCAGAAGGAGTTAGTGAGTGAGGAGTTAGAGAGTGAAGAGTTAGAGAGTGAGGAGTTAGAGAGTGAGGAGTTAGAGAGCGAGGAGTTAGAGACCGAGTTAGAGACTGAGGAGTTAGAGACTAGAGAGTGAGGAGTTAGAGACTGAGGAGTTAGAGACTGAGGAGTTAGAGACTGAGGAGGAGGAGTTAGAGACTGAGGAGTTAGAGACTGAGGAGAGAGAGGAGTTAGAGACTGAGTTAGAGACTGAGGAGTTAGAGACTGAGGAGAGGACTGAGGAGAGACTGAGGAGTTAGAGACTGAGGAGTTAGAGAGTGAGGAGTTAGAGAGTGAGGTGTGTATATTCATGCAATTGCAGGGGGGGGGGAATCTCTGTGTATTTTGCATTTGTTGTATGTACGCGTGCAAGTACGGACACGCGCACACTGCGTACTGATCGACAAACCACGACAGCTTATGCTTACCTGTTGAGGACCGATAAAGTGGTTCACATCGGCTACGTTACTCTCACGCAGAAGACCACATTGGACCTGAAATTATTCCTCCATAAATTCTTTAGGCAGGTATGTTATTATTGCACCCTAAATATGGTGCATTTCAGAGAATTTTTTTATTTTGATGTTTATGAATTCATCAGGCTCTTAACCTAAGAATAGTGCATTCCAGGGAGGAGATACTAAATTAGAAAATAAACTAATAAGTTATTTATGTTTATAAATTCAGAAAGCAGGTAAGTTATTTCACCATGAATATAGTGCATTTCAAGAAGACATCAAATGAAGTAATTGCAATTAATGTCCATAAAATCACCAGACAGTTAAGTTGCACCCTTAGAATAGTGCATTTCATACCATCAAATAAATTAATTATTATTTATTCATCAGACAGGTAAGTTATTGCACCCTAAGAAGAGTGCATTTCAGGTAAAAGACACCATCTGAACTTATGATTTGTTATTGAACATGATCGCACCAGATCTGTCCAGCCTCAGAAAAGGAAACATTGGCAACTCGCCTGGAAGTATGGATAACTCCGATTCATTTTCTCTTTTCATTTTTCTTCTATTCAGCTGATACTTCGTGCTTGCAATCTCTTTAAAAATTCATATACTATATATTTATTGCTGTACACCATTTTTTTTTTAATCCAGTGAAGAATCGGCGAATTTAAGTACTCCAGAATCTCGCGTGAGTTGCCAAATAGAATAAAAAATCGGTACAAAAAATACTGATAGACAAATATGCATTTATAAAGATATACTGACACTGGAAAAATAGTAATTCAGGGAATTGTAAGTATAATGATAATGATTATATAAAAGTTTATGATAATAAAAACAAGGAGTTTTAGGAAATATATAGACAGAGGGTGTGACGTCATATCTTATGGAATTACTTGTTTTCGTTATTGTTTTATCAGTATTTTTTTTTCTTACAAATACTTCAATGGTAAATTGAACTAACTTTATAAGAAAATAAACATAAATAAAAAATAAATAACAAACTATATCTGTGCTTAAGAAATGTAAATGAATAAATAATATTAAATGAACAAAAAGGATTTTACTTTTATGGAAATCCAGGATTACGATCGCTTTAAAAATAATAATGATAGCCAAAAAAAAAAAAAAAAAAAAAAAAAACAGTTTGGAGAATACGTAAGAAATAAATATGGAACTCGAAAAAAGAGGAAAGGTATGGGAGAGAGAAGGAGGAGGAGGAGAGGGAAGTGGAGGAGGAGGAGATGGAAGAAGAAGAAGAAGAGGCGGTGGAATAAACTTGCTTGTGGATTTGAGTCTTTTTTTCTTTCTTTTACATATCGAAAACATTAACTGAAAAATTATTATCAGTGATTGATGTCCGTCGTGTGTGTGTGTGTGTGTGTGTGAGTGTGTGTGTGTGTGTGTGTGTGTGTGTGTGTGTGTGTTGTGTGGTGTGTGTGGTGTGTGTGGTGTGTGTTGTGTGTGTGTGTGAGAGAGAGAGAGAGGGAAGAGAGAGAGAGAGAGAGAGTGAGAGAGAGAGAGGGAGAGAGAGAAAGAGAGAGAGAGGGAAAGAGAAGAAATGTGCCAGAGTGTGCAAGTGTGCCAATATGTTTGCTAGGATATATTGCATGTTTAACACAAATTACACTCGGTCAACTACATAGCCATTATCCTAAGCTAGTGCTAATAAACTTCGACTGTATAAATTAAACATGGTAATTATACTAATGAATTGCATGTCCAAATACTTTTCTCCACGACTTTTATTTATTTACTTTTTTCAGTTAGTGACACATTTTTTGCTCGGTCATTTAGTTTTACATGTTCCATTTTGCCAAAGCTAAAATTACTTAAGCATACTGACAGCAATCAGAATATTTCAGAACATTTAACGTATTCGTCAACGAGTAGATATTTTTCTTAAGAATTGTGAACAATTAAATTCGCATGGTTCACATCTCTCATACCGGTGCCAAATGTGAGTTGTCAAGTCCAGTCCCACGGCTTGACACCAACTGGGGGACACTGAAGACTGTTCACAAGAACTTGAAATGGAGAACAATGTCATTGTTTCTCTCCCAATAACATTCCATGATCTTATCGTCAAGTCATTGATATACTTGTCCTTTATAACCCGGCCCTTGGTGCTCTCTCTGTCTTAACTGCCTCTACCTAATTGCCCTTACAGATCCAGTGCTTCTTATCTGCATGAGAAGAGATTAAGTAATTTCCCACGCCGATAAGACACTTGATCAACCTGTAGGTACATAAAGGTTTGAAAAAATGTTCACTGCCGGGTGGACGAATAAACGTAAAAATAACGAATTACAATAAAGAAAGGTAACAGATATGGGCACATTACAGAATACGAATACAGGGTGGGACATTATAGAAGTTCTTACAGTAGAGATACTGATATTCAAAGCTACAGGTACAGGGCCTTTCTTCCGGTTCTTTGTTTTTACAGTGGATTAAGAAGCATTTATCTATCAGGTCACAAGTAAGTACTACACCCTAATATAAAGATTGCTTTATAGGAACAGGCTGAGGGAGGGGAAGCGTGCCAGGAAATCTGCTGAGGCAATTTCTGGTCGTTTCACGGCTCTCAACAACCCATCGGTGCCGTCACACGCACTTACTCCGTCAATTTTTGGACAATTTTCTAAAATTTTGTACATTTTTGAGTGAATTGCCGATTCTCCAGTCAGATGATAATGATCGTTTCCGTTTGAAAACCTTTCCGTCAACTTTTTCAGTCAAGCATAGTCAGATCAAGAGTTATATCCGAGAATGTTTGTATTTATGTTAAATAAAATTGTCAAAAAATTGACGGAAAAAGTGCTAGTGTGATACGGCCTTTTTAATGGACCCTGTAGCTCCGTTGGATACCTTCAAGCACGAGTCTTGCAGAAGAGATCGAAGGCCATTTCTTATTGGTCTTCGCCCTGCCTACCAAGCCCTGAGAAAGCTGTACTCCAAGCCCAAGCCGGAGCAATCTGGATTCCCTCCTGGTAAGTCCATAATAGACCATTGTGGAGCAACTGGGCAATATCATGGTTACCGACCTTGATTTCGCTGATGTTACTATTCTATGTGAGCCTTTTGAAACCCAAGTGGTTTGTTAGCGTATGACGTATTTAGCTTTTAAATCGATAGATATTTGGAGTACTGTTTAGCTAATGCTAGAATATGATAGATTAATAGAGTTGTAAATCAATTTCTATCAATTTTGTAATATCTTGGGATGTCATTCGTATTTATTGTAACAAATATTAATAGTGTTAATCAACATGGTAATAGGTATTATTATTTAACGCTTATGACACATAGTCATTTACTCATGAAAACACAATGGTAGAAGTTATGTCTTAAAGATAGGTTCTGAGTCTCCCCAGAAAGTTGCATGAAAGTTACGAGCACGTATGGTATAAAGTGTACTGCAATCGTGACACTTCAAGCTTCTATTGCAACGGCAAGGCCTGCACCTTCCAAGTACAACTGCAATTCAGAAGTAAATACTGGTTAAGCCTTCAACTTTTAACATGAGAACCCTTTGAGGAAAGACCGCTGGGCATAACAACCCCCCTCTAAATCAAGTTCATAAGAGACCGCTGGGTTAAAGCAGCTGGGAAGAAAAACAAAAATCGTGAGAAATATAAGTAGAGGATTCAATGACAAAGAGGAAATGGACGGAAACGTGGAAATCTTTTAGAGCAGTAAATACCAGCGCAAAGAGTATGACTCGACACAATAGGCCGGTTTCTTAAAATTGCGAGAGGACCCGAAACGATAAATACGCACGGACATGCATATGCACAGAAATAAATGTAAATCTATCTAATATATATGTTCTCATATATCGATATATTTAATAAAAATGCATATCTAGATTGATAGATATGCTTTTATCTATTTAGAGCTCCATATGTATGAATATTTACCAGGTCGAGCCACGCTCAATTTTAACAAACTGGCGTTATAGGAGGGTAGTTGGGTGTAATCACTCGGAATAGAATTGGGAAGACTAGAAAGTGTGGCATCTACCTGTTTTCCACTTAGATTATTAAAAAGAAAGAAAGAAAAAAATAAGTGGAATATGCCTTTCTCTATCAGCCTTTCTGCTCCTGCTAGACTTCAGGGGCTAGATCGTCATGTGGAAGTCCTGTTTTACTCTTATTTTTATCGTATTTGGGGATGTGTGTGTGTGTGTGTGTATGAAACACCTTCATTCAGAAGTATATGTTTAATCTAAGTAATTGTCGGATGATAATCTTAAGGGTAGGCTAAAGTATTGTAACATATATAACTCTCTTTTATGACTATTTCATTTATTATTTATTTTACTGTATTTCTTAAACTTTGTTTCTTAGCAAAAGACCTTTTCACGTTACATATTACTCAACACATTCTTAAAAGAAAAGACAAAAATCCTAAAGAAAAAAAGGTCTTACGCAAGTGATTATCCAAAACTCCGTGAAATTCTCAACGAAACTCCATCGCTCTGGCCATACCTGTGACACGAGACACAT